GCCGGTGTGAGCCCGAGTGCACCCGGTCCACCGTGGACCATGAGGCTGCCGCGTGGGCCCCACTCCCGTGGACCCGGTCCGCGCGCCCCCTCCTCTCGGCTGACGCAATAAACCCTTTTAAAATTAAAATTTAAATGAAGAAATTCGCAAATATTCATTTAAAGAGCATATAAACTTCAAATGGCCATAACTTGGCCATTTGAACTCGGAATTGGACCGTTCAAGTCTCTAATTTTTCCTTAAGAAGTCAAGAACCCATTTTTGTGCTTTGTTCCTGCTTGTTATATGGAGTTTATTAGAGTAAAAGCCTTTTCTTTTCCGTTGGTCGTGTAGACGCTGCAGCTTCGGAAGATCCGCTCTTCGTGTAAGTTGAAGCCGACGTTTGGGAAAGCGAGCAAGGCAAGTCACATCATCCTTGAACATATTGAATCCCAGTTTATAAAATTATGTTGATTTAAATTATTGCATTATCGCTTTATTTAAATTCCCGCGTTATCACTGTTTTATTTAGCCATGCCTATTTACCTTTGTTATGACCTTATTATTGTTATTGTTATTATTTCCTTGTTCACCCTAGAATAAACAAAACCCCAACTAGTGGACACTCTACTCATGGTACCACTAGTATGATTTTAGGTAGATGCTTCGCTGGTTAATTAGGCAACATTAGGTGGTTTTACAACTCTAGACTTTGGGATATTCATATCACCTGGACACTATGGAATGGTTGGATTATTGTGGAATTGGATTCACACCTCCCCCTCTATTCAAAATCCTCAAAATGGTTTTAGGTTGGGCTCGGGGTGCATGGTTTTGATAGTAGCACCTCGGCCATATAAAGACCGGTCTTTGGGCCTTTGTTGCAAAGCACTACCGTACTTCCACATGTCTAGTGGGTAAGGCTTAGTTTGTGGCTCAGTCTGGTTATAAACAAAAGTACACGGATGGAGATGGACGAAGTCGGGGGTCGATGGACATCTCTAGGACAAATGAAGGCTACACGAGCTGCGGCCCGGTAGTCGAGATGTCATGGCACAGGGCCGGTGTCCTGCTGCTAGGGGCTTAGTCCTGCCTACCTGTCCCGGGGGTTCCGGCCGTATGTGGGGTTGGGTCAGTACTCTTGTCTATGGCTAGGATGGGTTGCAAACTATGTCACGTCTTCCGTCCGTATACCGTGGTGGTATGTGGCACGTGGTTACACGTGAGGAAAATGTGTCTTGTGGGTAAAGATGTACACCTCTGATCAGAGTATAATCTATTCGAATAGCCGCGCCCGCGGTTATGGGCAAGCCGAGCAATGTACCCAAGTTAGTGTTTTAATTCTTAAAACCTGCTTAACAACTAAAATGTAGAATGGTTGGCCTGGGTTGGCTTGGGACGAGCTGGGACCCAGGGTCGGGTTGCCAGTTCGGTCTGAATCATCGTAGGCCTTGGGTTAAGGCAGGTTCGTGTGGGTTCACGGCCTTGATTAATAATATTGTATAGCTCTGGAATCGTGTTTACAAAATAGCTTTGAGCAACTAAGTGTCTTTTAATGCTGTTTACTGTAAACCCTACCCTTTTATATTATAACCCCCTTGTACTCCCTTGCATTTATCCTGCACTTGTGGGTGTGTCTTGTTGAGTACGGTGGTTGTACTCAGTCTTGCTCAATTTTTCCCAAACCCAGAAGAGGAGCCCCTGGATGATGAAGGCTTTGGTGTCTAGCTCGTGCCTGCCGTCAAGCGCCTGTGGTCGTCGCCCTAGTCTTCCGCTGTTTCCCGTTTGTCTTTGTGTGTGCTGGGCCTTCGCCGCCCATGTAATAAATTAACTATTTACGCTTCCGCTTGATAAACTCTGAAATGTATCAACTTTTGGTGTACCTTGCCTCCTGGGACAAGGAATAATACACGCACGTAAGGAACGCCCGTTGGGTTAATTCCGGTCGTGACAGATGATCAGGTAAACATGCCCTAGAAGATGGCCACCAATCCTGCAGCCAGCTGCCACGGAGGGGAGAGAGGGCAGCCCAGCCAGGAGAAGACAACACCCGTAACTAGACCTGACGAGCAAACATGCAGTCAAGGAGGATGTGGTTCGCCGTCTCAAGCTCTTGAGCGCAAAAGGGGCAGGCCGAGTGGCTATCAATGCCGCGCTTCTGGAGGAGATCAGCTGTCCAACAGCGCTGCTGAAATGCAAACCAGAGGAAGAATTTGCACTTAGCAGGGCCCTTCGCGTGCCAGAGAAGATCGGCACAAGCAAAGGAGTGCTGGTCAAAGAAGAACGCCTGGTACGCCGAACGCGCCGAGTAGCGCTGGTCACTCGTCCAATGCCAGACAAGACGATCCCCGACACCCGGTGTAAGCTGAATGTGGAGCACCCAATCCCAAACAAGGAGAAATTGGGAGATGACCGGGACAGTGAGGGTGCCGCGGATGTTAGAAATCCAGGCGTTGTTTTGCCAGGCCAGAAGCAACCGTGTGCGAACCACGTAGATGCGGGGGCACAATGAAGAGGAGATCCGAAGCCAAGGAAGCTACTGAGTAGCCGCAGATCCATTGGTCAGACCAGAAAAGAATCGACTCACCATCACCTGGTACGAAGAAGGTGGACGCCTCAAACATGTCAGAGACGGCTCGCTCGGCTGGGGCCTTTAGGCCGTCCCAGTAGGGATGCCCTGAGCGCTGGAGCCAAAGCCAGCTAACACACAGGAAAAACCCTACCAACCTAAGGTCAGAAATTCCCAACCCACCGAAAGCTCTGGGATGACAGACATTCATCGAAGAAACCCGGCACTGCCCACCGTGAGCCGAGTCCGTGCCCGTCCACAAGAAGGCGCGGCGCTTCTTGTCAATGGCCTTGATCACCCAGGCTGGAAGGCCGATCGCCATAGACACATGGACCGGAATGGAGGAGAACAGACTGGACCAAAACAAAGCGGCCGCCCAGAGTGGTGAGTCGTCCCTTCCAGGGAGGAAGACGATGGGAGACCTTATCCACAAGCAGCTGCAGGGCCGCCCTCGGCAACTTGCGAACGGATAGCGGAATGCCGAGATAAGAACAAGGAAAATCAGAGATCGAGCAGGGAAAGCAGGACTGAACCAGCTCCAGGTCCTCAGCCGAACAGCGCATCGGAGTAACCGAACACTTGGCAAAGTTGGTGCGAAGCCCGGACACTGCACCAAAGACAGAGAGGATGCCCTGGATGAACTTAAGATCCTGACGAACCAGGGAGAGGAAGAGAACCAAGTCATCAGCATAGAGGGAGGCGTGGTGTCGCAAGGCACGATCGTTGAGCGGAAGGAACCAGCCTGAGTCAGAGGCTTTGCGGAGCATCGCGTTAAGCACATCCATGACCAGAATAAAGAGCATGGGAGAGAGCGGATCTCCTTGCCGAAGGCCTCTCCGGTGAGGGAAACGAGGACCTTGCACCCCATTGATCAGCACCCGGGAAGAGGAGGCGCCAAGGATGAGAGAAATCCAATCACGCCAGCGCTAACTGAACCCTAGATGGGTGAGCACCTCAAGCAAGAACGGCCAACTGACCGTGTCAAAGGCCTTGGCGATATCCACCTTAAGAAGGAGGCAGGGGGTGCGCCTCGCATGGAGAGCCCTAGCCGCGAGCCGCACATAGTGGAAGTTGATTAGAAGCTCTTTCAAACAGTCTAGATTTTAATCTAAATTTTAAGATGATGTTATAGAATTAAAAAAATAAATTAGAAGCCAGAATCTAAAAAATCTAACTTAAATTTTCAGAAGCTAGACCAATCAAGTGCATCTCCGCTAAACGGACCCTTCGTCGTAGCCATCACAACAACACAGGTTCGAAGTTTCACATTGCTGCATCGGCCACGCGTACGGGAGCACAAGCACGCAGCGGGCGAGTCGCGTCCCAAGCCGTGATTAAAACCATCTAGTACCAAATCCTTAATACGGAGTACTACCATTCATCAAGGCCCCCTCTCTAATCTCTATACTAACTAGGATGTACCCCCGCGGCAAAGCCGCGGATACTGTTATAAACATAAATGAGAAACAAACACCTAAATACAATAAAAAAATATGTTGATAAAAGATGAACCGTATGGAGACAACCTAAACATCACCATGCAAGAGTAACAAAGTTATATGTGCTCGAATATTAGCGATAGCTTATTAGTTTAATTAACAGTATAGCACATGACAAAAATATTTGCAGTTGATAGAAATTGCAAAAGCTGGACGCTATACAGCACCAACCCATGATAGGCATAAGAACATTGACATCATGCCAAATGAGCGCCTGATGTTGGAGCGTATACAACATAATCATATATTCTGCCTAGTGCATTGCGCAGAAAAGTTCGGATAATAGCAAACATATAAAAAGCTATAGCATGGTAACAAAACAAATGATAGTAAATGACAGCAGTTTTGCGCGTTTGGTTGTCATTCGCACCGATCAACCCATACGGAAAGCACCAAACCATAAGGACAACCTGAGAAACCTGTAAGCATATGAAAAAAAGGGAAGTAGGTAGAATATTGTCATGATAACAAATAATCAAAGCATAATGTATCATGTTAAGTTTAAAAAGTAAGCAAAATGATTAAATTGAGTTCACAACTCTGGGCAGAGTAAAACAACATATAATGTTTTGAAGTGTACCACACTGAGCTCAGTATACATATAGAACTGTCCATAATTCGTTTAGTTAATCACAAAGTTGAATGAGAATAAATAGCACGTACTACACACTATAAGCGTGCGTAAGTAAAATAAGAGTGAACTAATTTTGCACGTGTGGAGGCACAATAGTTGGAATGTATGGAACATTTTTTTTGTCTTGTAATAACAGAATTCGGTAAGCGGTCCATAGGAAGGAAATGTAAAGAATACGAATAGATATTTAACCTACATTTGCTAAATATAAATATATGCATCAATATTTGCTACCATGTGCATATCAAACATGACAGGAGGGCATCTACAAATGATGAATCCATGTATACTGAGGGCAAGCTGAACCCATACAGTCCTAAAGAAATTTACCTTTGTTTTTTTGGTGAATAACTGTATGGTGCAATAGGGAAAAGAACCAAGGAATAATCATAAAACTTCATATCTTCTAGTTCAATGACTTTGGGTACCATGGGTGAACATAGGGGTAGTGAAATCTGCATTTATATATAAAAAAAAGGCATAGCTAGCTGAGTTATACCCATTCATTCAGAAGAATAAGAATAGATGAAATTGGAAGCACGCACAGTCCACACGTTAGAACGATTGATGTATAAAACCGAGGCATACATATACATATATGTTGAGATACAGAGCGTATAAAAATACCTGGTAAAGCTAACCACGCTGATTTGCAATATCACTGAATATTTCAGAATATACGACATTATGTGTCTTAGATTCATACCCAGGTAGGCTATTCTCAATGAGGACTCGAAGACCTTGAGGTGATGTAACACGCGAGAAGGCAACATATAATTGTCCATGTGAGAATACAGGGTTTGGTAGGTACACACCAACCTTACTGAGTGTCTGTCCTTGGCTTTTATTGATTGTCATGGCATATGAAACACGGACTGGGAATTGCCGACGCTTTATTTTGAAAGGCCATTTTGAGTCAGTCGAAGTAGTGACTATTCTTGGTATGTATGGTTTTGATCCTCTGGATTTTCCTATTATTATTTCAGCCTCAGTTATGCGATGAGTCAGCTGTGTAACTATGAGACGGGTACCATTACATAATCCCTTTGGTGTATCTAAATTCATAAGAAGCATAATGGGGACACCAATCTTAAGTTGTAAATGATTATCCGGCAGACCACTCATGTGTATTGTATTGAGAAATTCTGTAGGATAAAGAGACTGCACATTGCAATAGTTTGGTGTGGCATCATCAATATCATCAAAGCTATAGTACGACATTTCTTCGGTGGCTATGTGGCTGATAATCTGTGCATTTATACCAGCAGCGATCTCATTTGTTGGTGCCAAAATTGCACGCTCACATAAGTAAGCTGGTAGCTGCGATATATGCGGCCGTGAACCATACACAAAAGAAATCAAACATGTGAGGTTCCTCTCTTCATCCGGTAGTAAAAGATATGATGGAATTTCCACCCAGGTGGTGTCCGGTCGATCAGCAGGTGCACTGTCATGGACATTACCATTACCTAAGGATAGAAGCCATGCAGCAAACTATTCAAGCTCAGATTTATCTTGAAGAGAAAGGCCTGGACAGCTGAGCCTCATATTTTCAGTTAATTCAAGCACCACACAGTTTTGCCAAAGGCGAGAACGGGTGATTGAGGCATTCAAGATCTGTTGTTTCCTTGCATTAGGAATAACTGGTAGAGTTTGTCTAAAATCACCACCCAAGACAACTGTTATACCACCAAACTGCATGTTCACAGAATCATGGTTGACTGATGACATGATATCCCGAAGGGTTCAATCGAATGCTTCAAAACAATGCCTATGGTTGACAGGTGCTTCATCTCATATAATGAGAGATGTCTGCTGAATCAATTCAGCTAGCTGGGTGTTCATCTTAATAGCACACATAGAGTCCTCCTGGATGTCTAGAGGAATCCTAAAGCGTGAATGAGGTGTACGCCCACCTGGAAGTAACAATGATGCTATACCAGAAGATGCAACTGTCAAGGCTATTTTCCCTCTATTTCTAATGCTGTTCAATAGGGTATTCCATAGAAATGTCTTCCCTGTGCCACCATATCCATAAACAAAAAATGTTTGCCTAGAATTATTTAAAACTGAGGATTCTATGGCAGTGTAAACATGCCTCTGATAAGGATTTAATTGATTAAGCAGTTCAGTCACACTGTTTGTTCCATAAGCAAGTTCATCCATTATAAGCCTATACTCCAATGGTGGAAAAGCATGATGGCTTAGCTGCGGTAACTGGAAATGATCCAAGCTATATCCTGCATCTCTCAGTAATTTGTCTAGTTCATCCAAGGTGGATAATCTAATATGGTCTTGAAGGATAGTTTGATGTATCCCAGGTGTATGCTAGCACACACGATATGCAAAGTCTTCACCCATTAGTTGAACATGGCTATCAAATAGTTTGGTTGGGTTTGATACTTGGCAAAATAGAAGCATCATGACAAATAATTGTCGGAGTTGGTATGGGAGTGCCCATTGTGCTGCATCAGTGATAGCCATCACCAAGTAACCCCAATGCTTCGCATGCAGATTGGAAAGTTGGATATTGAATGTCACCGATAGTGCGTACACCAGAAAAGGATTGAGCACCCTTGATAACATGCAATAATATGCGTAGGTAAAAACGCTCACCTTGGTTAGGTCCAACATTTGCAATGCGACCAACCTTGCCCTTATGACTCTTAGAGCGTTGTTTCCAATACTTGCCATCGCCATGCCATGTCCAAAATTCAGGGAATTCCACATAAGTGTGTTGGCGAGCATGTGGGTATATCCTGTTAGCATCAAACCATGCAGTCAATTTGGTGATAGTGCTTAGTGGATTTTCAATGACTTGGTCAAGATAGTCATCTTCAAAAAACACCACATTATTTTCTAGCGGGAGATGAACAGGTAAACGTTCAACAGATGGATCGGTGTGGTGGATATCAAATTGTAGCAAGCGCCATGCAGCTTCATTAGGTGCTATACACCTACAATCAAGACATTGTTGTATTTCGTTGCCTCCATCCCGTATTCCAACCTTAGCACAATCTGGTCCTTTGGTTGTGTACTTGAATAAGTACTTCTCCATATCATCACGATTAACAATTTCAACATTGATGTGTGCCTGGTACTTAACCAAGAGGTCAACATTATGGGGCACAACATACCCGTTGTCGACATCCACACCACTTTTGTTTGTGGTAATTTTGTTATTTGGCCGAGCATATATGATACGTCCATTGGGCAAAACTATAGTTTTCTCTGTAAATTCTTTAGGGTAAAACTTACTGCATTTTCCATCGTTCATGCAAGCAGACGATTTGTTTGAGCTGCCACAAGGGCCATGTATCATGAACCTTGAAACGGCCTCATAACCAACACGATCAACAGATGGATCTGGTAGCTATGCAGATACAAAAGCATCTATCCAATCAGCATCAAGAGGTCCGTCCCTTTTGAGCCACACGATTATATGGACATGGGGCAATCCACGTTTTTGGAACTCAATTGTGTAGACAACTACAAAAAAGGGAATGGAAAACTAATTGAGAAGTATCGAAGGGGAAAATCAGGCCAAAAAAAATAGCCGAAAAATTTGGATGTAGATGGGAAATATCAACGGGAAATACATTATGTAATAGAACATAGTGCGCAAAATTAAGGAGCTATGGAAATTACCTCCAGATATTGGACCAAAAAACTGGTTTTTTACTATGTCATCCATAAAGATTCTTAGCTTCATATGAAAAACACGATCAACAATATCAGGTCGATCAGAGGAATACTGTCCTGAAATGGGTGCTAAAGCTTCTACTATTTCTAGCCATAAAGCATTGCATGTAAAAGTGATGAATAGATGTGGGCACCCAAACCGACGACAAAGTGCCACACAATCTTGGTAGTTCTGATAGTAATAACGTGGGCTCCCGGTAAATGAAGCTGGCAAAACGATCTTTTGACCTGCTGTTGATCCTTGTGTCATGCCGGTGCTAACAGCCTGAACCAAAGAGTTGTATGGGCTGGCTCTATATTTCTTCTGAAATGAGTCAATTCTGTAATGGCTCAAGCGACCATCCTCAACACAGCAAAAACCATCAACCTCATAGGATTGAGTAAGTTTCTTGCACCGTAAAGGAGTGTTGAAGTCACCAACTCTATCATGTAGTCTATATGCAAAAAACTCTACCATCGTGACATAATATCTCTTAATGGCTCCTGAGCGCTGGCATTGACAGTACTTGAGATCCTTATGGAAGCCATCTTCCCCATATGGGAACAGGAGAGGGTACTGCATAGTCATAAACTTGCAGTGAGATTCTTTTATCCTCTGTAGATGAGAAGCATGATCTTGTACTATTAAATCACGACCTTGATCAGTGGTTCCTAGATCATTGACCACCAACCCAACAACCTCAGATGCAATAGGGGCACTATAAACACTACCATGTTGATTAGGCACAGCAAATAGCCTGACAAAGTAGTGGTCTTCTGATTGGTTAGCCAATCTATCCCGAGCAGTTCGGAACACTTGCACAATTGGGTTATTCATATCAAGCATCCTCATAAAAGATCTAATGACATCTTCATTTGGCTGAAAACTACCACGAACGGAAGCAACCCCCATCCTATTCTGGACTTCATTTTCAGTATCAAAAATGTATAGCTGACAATATTCTGGCCAAGCACCATGTCTTGGAATTAGAGATCCTATCCGATGGCACAACTGCCCACTAATCTTGAAAACATAAGGTCCTCCACCATCGTTAATAGACCTTATGATGTTGACGCCCATAGATGTCATAGCAAATATAGAGTTGTAACATCTAATGTTATCAAAGAAATGGGCAGACAATGCATGGTTTTGTCCAGTCAACAAACTAAGCAATGGTTCTGGAGGTGGTCTGTATGGAGGTAAACGAACACTTCCTCCCCTACAACATTTGTTGTACACAGGTGAAGTTACCTGTCCTTGACCACGGGCACGCTCCTCATACCAAAAGAGAGCACCACAATATCGGCAAGTCTGATCAGGTCCTCCAAGGTATAAAGGTGAAAATATAGTGCCTAAGAGTTAAAAAAGACAAACAGGAAATAAGAAAACATTTGACAGAGAAAATATAGAGCAACGGAATGGACAATATGCTTTGTTATCATTACCATATGGAAGTCATCACTGCCATGAATCAGCTGCGGCGAGAATCATAGTAATTATCGTTGTAATGAAACCTCATCGACAAGCAATGGATTGATCATAGAGTAACCAGCAAGATGAACTGCGGAGTCGAGCAGCATGACATCTGTAGGCGAGTGGTGTGTAAAACTAATCGTGAGTCTGAGGCAATATGAGGAGATATATCTCCTAGGCATATTCGAAACACACATAGCGTGCATGTTTCTCATATGCTAAGAAATAGTTAATGAATATGACAACAGTAAGATTGAAAAAAAGTAATAGAACTTACGGCGGTGTCGACCGGGGAATGGCTGCCTATGATCTGGTGCAAGAAAAAGATAGACCAGAAGAATTAAGGATTTCTTGTCATCACAATACATTATTGAAAATTGAAAAGAAATAAATTAGGTACCATCGCCACCTGGCTGAGCAGCTGAGGTTGGGTTATGTTGACGTAGTTGTGTATGGTGTGGTTGGTGTACAATATTATCATTTGGGATTTTGCGCCGCCGAACAGACCGAGATGAAAGGGAGAGAGTATCAGCATATAACCCTGGAACAACAGCCAAATGATCACAAATCTAACAAAACAAATTTGTCTATAAGGTTATTAGTGTAGAATGTCTTTTCTTACTTTCTTCTCTCCTGCAAATCATAGCTACCTTGCGTTTTTTACGCGACTTGGCAGCAACACATCGAGGTGGATGCGGTAAACCTGTGACCAACAGAATATATTGCATGAATATAACAATATAAATCTGGGACTAACCTAGAGGGTAAGGTCATAATGATAATGGCCAAAATCGCAAAGTGATAGGCATGTTAATTTCATTGAGCTCAGAGAGAGAACTAAATATTGTAACTTTTTAATATCTATACTAATATGGTAGCACAGTAGGAGGCTGTCTTGCTATTTTTCGTAAAAAAAAAAGAGAGATAACTAAAGAGGACATAGTCTAATGGAGAGCTCACCACAAACGGTCTCAACGGCACGAAGTGTTGGGCTACCCGATGAGAGACCGTCACCGGTTGGGATAGGCACATTATCAGAAGCAAAGCTCAGCCTGCGCCTAATTGTTCGCCTTGATGGTAGGTGAAAGGTTGATATAAAGTCTCCAGCGCATACATCTGGAACATGGCTTGTTGATTGGCTTGATTGTCCAGCACAAAAGACACCTGAACCAAAATTGCAAGTTCAGGTTCTGGTACAGCCAGAAAAGTAACACCACGAAATCGAAATAAAAGATAACGAGTGTACGAAACATCGGTTGTTAGCTGACCTTTGAATTGTTGGTCCAATACAACGGCCTTCCGCTTACGTTCTGGATTGCGAAGAATAGGTTCGACTTGACATAGAGATGACACTAATCCAATGCGCCCATCCAAAATCAGCTGGTTGTTATCACTATTCTTAGCCATTGTTGTATGACCTGACCATTTAGATGGATGGTAAGAAAGCATGAATAACTAAAGAGACAGCAAGTAAAGGAGTGGAGGAAAGGAAAAGCGTAAGCGTAAAAGGTACCAGGAAGGTTAACCACATGAAGAGCTAATCGGCAGGAGCACTAAAAATTGTGAGGTCAAATTACAGGGTTAACATATGCATTTAGTGGATGGCAACGATACTCCCAACACAATACCGGATGCTCTGTAGTTGACGTCACATTGGCTGCATAGGTCAACTAACTAATCCATCAGGTTATCGACATATAAGCTCATTCCAATCGGCTAATTTGTTACATGTGTTGCTCAGCCTAGAAAGAATAAGCACATATCCTTACCGGTTTCCTTTTTATTACTATTACAGATTTGCTAATTAGGAGGTTAGTATATTAAGCAAATAAAAGAACAATCCTAAATGCCAACCTCATCATACGTACAGAGCAATCTGAAAGAACGGCTACATTTTATAATCCATGATAAAAAACAACAGGCATAACTAATTTGTTAAACCTGGAAGTTTATGTTGAGTCTTATAGTCCAATTTTCTTCCAAATACCTTGTACAGATTGGGGGATTTGGGCGGATCTTGCTGCGACCAGGGAAGATCTTCGAGGGAAATAGATAAGTACAGCAACATCATACCAAGTCAGTGTTAGAGCTGAAACTTCCACTAAAGAATTTATATCGTTCCCCCATTTAAGCCAAATCTTGATTCCTGAAGAAACAGATAAACAAATAATGTCATTCTATCCACAGAGAAATCAAAAGGCAAAAATATTTCCAATCATGTCAAGTCGCCAACTGACAAAGCGAAGCATGATAAACACCAAATACAGTGTAGAACGGGAATCAACAATGATAAATAATTCCATATATAAGCTACTAATGTATTGATAGGAACTCAATAAATGATATGGCTGATTCTAAAGATTAGCTTTCCATTTGCAATGTAGACCACTGACTTTCTTATGTGTAGACCTAACAAATACATAAGCACATCATTTCTTCGTGCAAACAGTATAAATTTAAGAAGACATTATGTACAATATGTTGAGATGTATTACATCTTGCAATTATCACATAATTAGTTCAAGATATCATTCCTCTCAGCACGCAGATTGCGATAATATTGGACTGCACTCAGGCATGATGCTCAGACTATGCACCCACCCAAAACTAATTGGTTCTTGTTACTATTCTCAGCCATTGATGCATGGCCTGAGCTGTAGATGGATGTGTGAAAGCATGAACAATTCATTAGACATCAAGGAAGAAATCAAGGAAAGGCATGGAGGGCAGGAGCATACATAGCCTAGGTCATAGAAGCTAAAGGCACGATAACAATTGTAAGAGCCTATCGGAAGGACCGCTAAACTTAATTAAGACACATTATAATATTAGCAGATGCAATCAGCACATTGCAATGATCCTTGTGGCACGGCATTGGATGGTTTGTATTTTAAACCTTTATTGATAGCCTAATTTAAATAGGTCAACAAAGGTCATTCCAATTTGGCTAGTTTGTTCCATGCATTGCTCAGCGTAGAAAGGATAATTATATATTGTTAGTGCTTTCCTTTTTGTTGTTATCTGCTAATTAGGGAATGGAAGTACATTAAATTCTTATTACATAAAGAAAACTAAAAAAAGCAATCCCAAATTCCAACGCGACCCCTAATCTGAGAACAATGTGAAAGCACATAAAAATGGTTCCAGCTACATTTTATACGTTATGGCAAAAAAAAACAATAGGCACAGCTAAAGTGCTAACTTGTAATTTTAGGATCAGTTCAAACATCAATTACCTATTTTTACAATCCAATTCCCTTCCAAACTATTGCACAATGTAGCCTCAAACTCAGGAGGCATGGATTTCAAATGGCCTTCCTCTAAAAACCATAAGCACTACAGAAATGTAGTTCACTAAATACAAACGGGCAAACGCAATGAAGCTCAGAAGCAGCTGAGGAGGAGACATGCAATCTGGTGTCGACTCCGGCGCAACCACCGATCTTTATGTCAGCTCTACCAATGATAGTAACAGTAACCGTGCATTACACAAATCAGCAATGGCAGCAAAAATAGTCCGGCAGAGCATAGCCACACGCAAGGAGGATCGAGGGGCATTACCTTCTAGTGATTGGGCGCTTCGGTTGGAGCTTGAGGCTGCTGGGGCTGACAGTGGCGCAGCTAGGGGGGTGCCGGAGGGTGCCAACACCCCCCTATCCCCACTACATCCCCTGTTTTTACTCTGTATTAAGGTTAACTAAGATAAGTATTTATCTAGTTTATTTGTGTAGCTTGAAAGTATTATCACTTTAGTTAGTTAGCAGATGTAAAAATATTAGCAAGAAACATGATATACAAAATTAGTTTGTGATTTCTCATCTTTTTCAAAGTAAAATAGATAATACTTATTTGTGAGATTATTCAATAGTTTACATTGAAAGAATTTAGCAATAAATTAAGACTATTTCAAACTTTCAATGATATTATTAAAGAGCTAAAATTCAAGATTTTGTTAAAGGACTAGTTTACGCATTGATTATTATTGACGGTGACTATTTGACCTCCTTTGCTATAAATATTAGTTATTCGGTCTCATGGCTTCTCACCCCACACCTCCTAATATCAAATCCTGGCTTCGCCCCTAGAGGCTGAACAGCTTGTCCCAGAATTGTCGAGCAAGCTGCAGCTGCCGATGCTATCAGCAATCCGTGCTCACCTATTTACAGCGGAAGAGTCTCGTGAGGTGGTGAGGATCCGACCTTAAATCGGCGGTGGAAACTATGGCGAGCCGAAATTTACATCGGTGGCGACGGCGGTGACAGCGGTGTTGGGAGGCAATGGTAGAACTTTAGGGGGGCAGGGAAGGATCTTCGATAGGCTTTGATGAGCAGGGGAACAGTTTAGTGAGGTGGTGGGGAATCGACCTCAAATCGGCGGTGACGGCCGTGGTGAGCCGAGATTTACATCGGCGGCGACGGCGGCAACGACAGCGGCGACCGTGGCGGTGACAGCGATATGGATTTCCTACCGTCCTCTAGCGGCCAGATGATGGGACGGGCGTATGGCGAGTAGGCGACCACCGGCGGCGGCGTGGTTGTACAGGGGACGGGAAAGAACGATGGGGAATGGGTTCGCTGGAAGCAGGCAAAAGACCTAAAGACTCGTCGTGCATCGGATTAGAAACATGCATGGGCTGATCCAATGGCCAGCAAGCAGATGAACAGGGCAACAGTAACGTGACTGCGTAGCAAGACAAGCAGCGCAGCTGCCGTACTTCACCAAAAACTATAATTTTTATAGATCTGTTGCCAGAGGGTCAAAAAGAAGAGGCCCCGAGTACAGCTTCCAGAAGCCGTCCATTGTGAATTCTTCGGCTGGATTCACTTCTAGAAGACCTGATCCCGTCTCCCCATATCGCCTTCCTCGAGATCCCCCCGCTTCCACATCCCTCCTCCCCCATTTCCTCCTCCTCTTCCTCCTCCTCCGTGCCCACCACCTGTTCGACGGATCGACGGACTCGCCACCGCAGCCATGATCCAGCTGCTCTTCACGCTGCTGGCCGCGGAGGCGGCGCTGGTGCTCGTGCTGCTCTTCCGCACGCCGTTCCGACGCCTCGCGCTGCTCGCCATCGACCGCGCCAAGCGCGGGCGCGGCCCCGTCATGGTCAAGACGGTCGCCGCCACCATGCTCGTCGTGCTGGGCTCCAGCGGCTACAGCATCGCCAAGATCCGGCGCCGGGTCGGGGATCTCGGCCAGCTCACGCCCACCGACCAGGTGCTCGCCAGCCGCCACCTCCTCGAGGCATCCCTCATGGGTATGTGTCACCTTCCCTTGTTCTTCTTCTCCGCGGCTAATTGGAACCCGTTGATTGGGGATCTCTGGTTAATTGGAAAATTGAGCGATAAATGTTTAGTAATAATAGTTATTATGTTATAAACTTATAATGTTCTGGAGGTTTTTGTTTAGGAAAGACGTGAAAGAATTGCATTGTGCTTATGAGAAATTTGCTTGCAGAAGGTCTTGATAGGACAACCTAACCCCAATTGCACATGCATGTTCTTCATCTAATTATTGTTCATCCAACAACGTTGACAATTATTGTCCCTCAAAAAGTTATGACAATTCACAATTCAATACTCTCTTGCCAAAGGTTTCATCAAGAAGATCACATTTTGAGACTGTTTACTGTCTTTTGAGTTTTGACGGTTGTGCTCTTCCATATCCATAGTTTTTTGTTTGATGATCTGTACTTTTGCCAGAATACAGGTTGACTGTGCCCATTAAAGAAACATGAACATGCAATTGAAATTGTCGATTTGTCATTTTTAGGCCATATGGATGTTATTCAGATGATGTAAATCCACAAGAAGTTGTTAATCTCATGGAAACAAGATAGAATTTATTAAATAAAAAGGAATTATTGAGACGACATGTCCTTCTTTGGTTTGGCAAAGCCACATGCACTCAATTGTTCCAGCTTATCTGTTCTGTTACTACTTACCAGACAGGTGGAAACGGCCAGTACACATGTCAGATGATATCCAATGAAACAATAACTTTTGATGTTGACACGTTGATACATCTTAGATTGGCCTTGACACCTTTGCGGAAATGAATGCTATAAGCTCAACAAGTAGGAAAAAGTAAATGTTTGGTTTCCTTCCTGGTCAAATGAAGAAAAAGAAACATGATTTAACTGCAAACCCACTTATTGATGCTAACTTGGAGTATGTTTTAAAATTTACTACTACTGTTTCACAAATTTTGCCGGTTTACATACCCAAGAGATTTAATATTTCATTAACATTTTTAATAGAATTAAACCATAATATATGCTAAGTGTAGCATTTTCTCTATCTGTAATCATAGTTCAATTCCGTTGCACATTACGTGAATTTTGCATTTCATGTATACTTTTGCCAGCATCCACTAGGACCACTAGTCATCCTAGAATAGTAACTAGTCAGAGCAGATGTTTAAAACTTCTTTTGAGCCTTTTGTTTTCATGGTGACTAAGAGTTTCATGTAGTGCATTATGTACATGTTTGTAGCTTGCAAGATTGCTTATCACATAAGTTTGTCACTGAGAAGCTTCATATTACAAAAGCACAGACCTTCTATCTTCACTATTCTTCAGAGATCGATGGTATCAAATGCTGGTCTTTCGGGAAAAAAAAAGATATCAAATGCGTTTGAAATAATTTTAGCTGTTCCCCACCCCCTTAGCTGACATATTTGTGGTCTCCTACTAAGGAACTTTGTGTTGACTCTGCTCCCCTCACAAATCCAATCCACCCATTTGTGCAATTGTGCAATGAAGAATGCGGTGTAAATCTAACCTATCATGCCATGCCTAGTCAACAACTAAGAGAGAGCCACACTAATTCTAGGCCAGTGTTACTTTTTTGTCCCCTCCTGAGTATCCGTGGCTTCACATGAGCACAATTTCAAAGAAGACTTCACATTGTCCTCGATACGTTACATCGAGAGGCTATTCTATATGCATTGGTCACTTAATGTAGTCTGTTGATCCTCTTATTCGGTTTATTAGTGAGACATGGAAGAACAAACTGAATGTTGTGTTCCCTATAAGGCCTGAACTCTGAAGTCAGGTGAATTGGCTTTGGGTGGTGGTGGGGCTGGATTCAAATTCCTGATATTGTTAGTTGGAGTGATAACATACATATTTGGGTTTGGTTGGGTTGATTTCTGGTAAACTTGGGTATTCAAGGTCCCACAAAAAAAGGTTGAACATACTCCAATGCCTGTTTTTGGTTTAATTAACGATTGGTATGGACTCAGGCAAGAAATAAGTGCCATAATATGGTTATTCTTGTGCTAAAATATATTGGTGGAGATTTTAACTTTTAGATTGATTGAATGTTGACATTTTTTCTGTTCTTTTGCAGGATACTCTCTGTTTCTTGGGTTAATTATTGACCGGCTACATCACTATATCAGGGAGTTACGGACCATGAAGAAAAACATGGAGGCTGTAACAAAGCAGAGCAGGACCTTAGAAGAAGCAAAACATGGGAGTGTAGAGGAGATTCAACAATATCAGAAAGAGATTTCCAGGTTGAATGAGCAAGTGCAAGAATTCAAGCGTCTGTCAGAAACGAAAACTGAGGAACTAAAAACAGCTGAAGCGAATACCTTGGCTTTACAGAAGCAATCTGAAGGTTTGCTTACCGAGTATGAGCGTCTCATCGCAGAGAATGAGGAATTCAGGAACCAACTGCAGTCAATGGACCTCCGCTTGTCGCATTCTGATAACAAAAAGAATACATAACTACACAACTGTGATGCTGGCATGTAATATCAAATGTTGTTGATGTATCATGCTGTATTTAATATATAGGTAATATAACATATGGATGAAATATATCGCTGTGTGTGGATAAGCAATACTGCGACCTTAGTTGTTTACGCAAAAAAAAAACGAGATATTGCCTATGAGTACAGTGCTGACGTCATATTGTTTCTTCATGTATTGATACTTTGGAAATAATAGCACATCATTTGCCCTCATATCGACTTTCTATAACTTTTAGATGGCAGGATTCTTTTCCGGGGCAGTATATTGACGCTTCTATATTGCAGAAACACAGCAAACCTGGTTATTGGAATTGCCAATGACATACAAACAGCATTATAATATTCTACATCCACTTCATTTGCAATCTTGTGACTAGGTAAAAGAAAAGCTATAATATTCTACATCTACTTCATTCGCAATCCTGTGACTAAGGTAAAAGAATTGATCTGCTTTTATGAGTTCACCCGCTTTCTTCGTTACACAGCAGGCAGCAGACGAAGAATGTTGTTATCAGAGCCTTCTGTCTGAAGTACACTTCTCTGTTGGCAGATTAAAAAAATATAAGCATTTTTAAAATAGTGACAATTCAAATTTTTTTAACTTTCACTATTAACAACAAAAGAATAAAAAAGATCAATCATGTAAAATTGATGTTACTAAATTTATCATTAAACAAACTATCATAACATGTAACTCTTTTTATTTAAAACATATTACTTTTGTATAGATATGGATAGTCAAAGTAGCATCTCGACCATGTCTGAATCTTAAAAATGCTTATATTTTAATATGGAAAGTATCTTTTTAGTGGATTCCTGGCGATCGACGATCGATAAGCACGACTGCTGTAGGATCGTCTATGGTGACAGTTGATCGTGAGGAGTGAAGAGGGATATCTAATGTATGAGAACATCGAACCCGTTCTCTGTTGGACTCAGCTGTTGTTACATGCATGTCATCCAATGAACTGTGCCCTGATGATGAAGATTAAGTACGAGCACGTAAAATAAAAAATATTAACATATGTTTAAATGTGTTTAATTATTTTAAACTTAAAAATAGTTTTATCTGATATTTTAAAATAAGTTGTTTTCGCATGAAGTACACCGTTCAGCACTTCAATACTGGAAAGCCCGACCTTCGTGACGTAGGATTCGGATACACCATGAAACCTCACGAACTGAATGAATAATACGTTACCTTGCAACGCACCTTTCACCATGAATTCGCAAAAACCACTAGCTTTGATAGGTTGATCCACTCGACCAAACAAAAGTGGATCTATTGCCCCCTCAATTCCCTACAAGGAAAAGCAAGAACAATATATGGCAGAACTCCCAATCCCTCTCTTTTGTTTTGCGGTGGCAGCACAAAACCTAGGAGAAGAACAAGAGCAAATTTTTACAAATACATGGGTTAGAAACTAACTAGAAATCAAATACAACACAATATGGAAACCTCTCTACAACACTGTTAATTTCTTTTGGCTCGTGTAGTGGAACCAGAAGGAGTTTGTTTCTGTTGGCCCCTCCGTCACTTGGGTCATGAAGTTAGCTTTCCAACAAGTGCACACACGTCCAAAACAGACTCCAGACAAGAGAGAAACAAGCATTTTAGTCCAGGTATGTCCAAGCTAGCCCAAACCGAGTTCAAACTGAATCTTTTCTTTCTTATCTTCAAACTTCTTGTTTTGGAAGGCTTCAATTCGTAGGGAACCTGTAAATAGACTCCATACCAACCCAAGATGGGCCTTGGGATAATAGAACCCCATCCAAACATGTTGTACAAGGCTCACATCCAACTTTGATGCCGCTGCTTGTGCAACATGTCTTTAACTTACAATTACTGGTGATAGAAAACTCTGAATGATGTGCCATTGGATCCGTTGGAAAGTAGACTTGATAAGCTTTCCAAATATATATGCCTTTCATGCTAAAAGCCTACATATCAATGTAGAATTATCCAAGAACTTCATGAACAGAACAACAATTGTTCTTCTCCAAGTACCAAATTCGACCATCAAATCATGCATAAAAGCAAATAAAAGAATATAAAATGAAATACCAAACTTAGAGGTAGTAGTTATTATTAACCATTTCCACAAGTCATGGTGAATATTTTTATGCAGGTGAATTATGGACAAAAACCACCCGCCATGCGACAAAATACACCTCTTAACAATCAGGACATGATTACATGGATTGAAGGGCCCACATATCCATCAAAACCACCTAAAATTGAGCCCAACCAAAGTACAAGATATTGGAGGCCCATCAAGTAGCCTCCCAGCCGAAAGAGAGGCTGGGAGGTGGGCCTAAGGGGTCGGCCGAGCCGCCTTTGCTTCCTCTGATAGTGTAGACATAGTGTCTAGGTTAGAGGTTATCTTCGTTTATTGTGTGCTCCACGGAAAGTGAGTTAGACGACAGGTGGTGACAACCCTGTTCATCCTTTGTGTCTCTCCACGTTCGGATATATCATAGAGCTTAAGACCGGACTTAGCCTGACAGACTAGGGAAGGGTCGGTGCCCGAAACATTTGATAGAGTTTTACCTTTAACTTAAGTTAGCTAGTTTTTTTTTTTGCGGGAACTTAAGTTAGCTATAGTTGAATCCATAGGAATCCTCTTTATTCTAAGCCTACTATTTAGTTGTTGTCCTTGGTTGAATCCTGTTATTAGATATACACACACGTTTCTTGTGCTCAATACCCTTAGAATACTCTCAAGGCAAGTGCTACAGTGGTATCCGTGTGCTTGAGGATTTATCTGTGTGCGTAGAAAATACCAACAAGGTTGTTGGATACACAACTTTAGAGTTTGAGTTCAATTTTAGATAAAGACAAGAGTTAAGGGTGTAAATGAACTTGTCCCTTTTCAAAATAAGACGAAGACTCCACCCATGTGTGCTCCCTTTTTGACCTCCAGCACCAACTAAGCCACAAAATCGGCCTCCCTTCCCTCTCCTCTGCCCCTCTTCCCAGAACCACTACTCGCCTCCCATGATGAGCAGCCACTACTATATGAACCCTTATAGGTGTCGGTTGAGAACTCTTCATAGGTATTGTTTCTATTGGTGTCAATTTTAAATGAATTGGCACACTTGAGTCGATACCTATCAGGAGTTTTGTTGTACTTGAAGCGCCCCCGCCCCGCCAATCAGGAAGGCCCAATAGATGTCAGTCACGACACCGCTGTCTTGCCCACCGTCCATGCTAATCCCTTGGCTCCAGCATTGCTGCTCTTACCTTGTTGGCCGTGGCCTGTGCTTGTTTGCCTTCTCGAAGACCATTTTTCTAGGCCCCGAGAATATCACCTTCTCTCCTTTTCTCATCTTGGCCCATCCCACAGAAGGCCAGTAACTTAAGACACTTGAAAGACGAAGAACACTACAAATCGGTAGTTCCAACATGATAACGACAAGTTCCAACATGTGTGTTCTTGTTGTGTTTCACAATTTTTAATGTTTCAATTAATAATTTTTTTTCATCGTGCATAATTTAATGTTTCATCCGTTGGTCCATCTGATTTTTATGGAGGAATCGGACGTTCGATTTGGAGTTTCCTCCCAGAAAGACAGACATGTGCCAAGCACACACCAAAAGAGGGAAGGGAACACGATATTATTCCAATAATGAATCTATAAGTGTTTCTTAATTAACTCGTTGATCACCAACTTTACAAACATCGACTGACGGGTCCTCCTTGGGACGACCCAATGCATTCCTCCGGCACAACAATGTCGAATCCACTCAGCGTCCACTCTGCCTCCGCATACTTGCTGACGTATATCTCCGTTCCGACGTCCAGCGACGACCACCTCCTCTTCGCCGGTGGCGTGCCCGGATCCTACATCCATGTTGCAAAACAACATCAATCACACTCACCCAAAATCCTTTCCATTTTGCTAAAAAGAAGAACGATCACTTCCTATCTCTGCATTCTGCATTGAAATTTCTCAACCAAAGTAAAACATCAACTGCACAAATGCAATGGACTCCCTACATCCTACAATATAAGAATCTAAATTCAGATGGATATTTCTGATTCGTAACAATAGAAAATATCCCATCTCATCTACGATTCTAGGTCTTATATTTTGGGACGGAATGAGTACCTGGTAGAAGTAGAGCGCCTGCGACAATGCTCCGACGTCGAGCTCCCATGTCCTGGGGTCACCGATCCACCCCTGGCCTTTCGCCGTGGGGTAGCCGAACTCACCCCACACCGGGTGCGGCACGAGCTGCAGGATCTCCTGCGGCTGCGGGTTGCTGTACGCGTCGCAGTAGGTGGTCGGCTCCTCGGCGGCGCGCGCGTTCCCGGGAGAGCAGTAGACGTGGTACGCCGCGTAGGGGAAGCGGGCCGCGTCGGTGCGGTGCACGCGGGTGCCGTTCCGGAACGTGTGCCACGGCGGGCACTCCTCGATGCGCCTCCGCGTGCACCACGACGGCGTCTCCGGGTTGATGATCATCTCGCTGTACCGCGTCACGTCCGTCGCGGTGTCGCCGTCGCACGGCCGGCCGTCGTTCTTCCAGCAGCTGCCCATGTCCATGAGGTAGAACTGGCTGTTGGGGCCTCCGCCTTGCTTCACCTCCAGCGTCACCCTCACCTTGAAGTTTGGTGATTCCGGCACCTGGCGTTACACATTTTTAGTCAGAAGATCTTACAAGGCTACTAATTTTGGTCACGAAAAAAAATGTTACTCCTATTTCGAAACTGACATGGTCAGTCTATCGAATTGCAACTTTTCCAGTCAGATATACTTCTAGTAGTACTTCATTTCTCCATCCAAAAGGACTTCATTTCAACCTTTTTTGTAAAAAAACAAAATTCTGACCTTTGCACTTGAAGATGCATTCAAAGGGTTCTTTTGTACCACTTTTAACCCTACCAAATTTTAGCCTTACCAAATTCAACAAACTAAACATATATTCTTATCAATGTTCCATTACCCGATTTTGATAATTCTAGATATTTGCACTCTTAAAAATTCTACCAAAAGTTGGTAAGGCTTCAAACCAAATATATATCTAACACTAACAAAATTTGATAATGTCCAAATTTAAACCGTAAGGTTGAAATAGGCTACAAAGTGAATAACCCCAAACAGTTCAAATATGAAGACTAACCAGATATGATAAAACCCTTTAGAATAATAGACACCATAAATGTCCATCTCACAAAATAATTTTGGATGAACGTGACGCATCCTAGTATAATAAATTTGGACATAGTCCACCCAAAATCCATAAAGAAAACGTAGTGGAGGATGGGACAAATCCCTGCTTCTCCACACGCTAAAGCAAAGTACCAAATGAATGCGACATGCTACAATATTCTGTGAATCTAATACAGAAGGCGCCATACCAACTACCAATCGTATAAGAGCAATCATATTTGTACTTTTTCAGTGAGGAATATATAAAAATAATCACATGTTATTTTGCTGAAAATTGAATCCGTGAGGTGAAGAAAACTTATCTGGAATTTAAGTTGGACGTGAGCATGACACACAGTTGAGTTCAGTTCAGTGAAAGTGAAAATGAAAAGGACATCACTTTTAAGTTTTAACAGAAGAGAGGTAGTACCATCTTGGTCATGCCTCTGGTGTCGTAGTGGTATCCACCGGAGAATCCCTTGGTGGCGTCGGAGCGGAGGTAAAGCATCAGCCACGGGTACTTGGGCGCAGTGCGCAGCTTGTGGTGGAACACCCACCCACCGTCGCCGCCGCTCCCGATGTCCTTCTCCCACGTCACCGAGTAGTACGACACTTCTCTGCTGCCGAGGTCCGCCGCGTCGAGGTCGTACGTGCCGAACAGCCCGCCGCGGAGGCGCCGGGCCGTGGCGTCCAGCGCGGTGCGGTTGTGGAACACGAGCGGCTGGTTCATGCAGCCGGCGCCGCCGGGGCAGGGGAACCTCGAGGTCTGCGAGAACGGGCGCGCCGGGCGGCCGTTCTCCGGGCAGATGGCGGCGGTGGTGTCCAGGTTGCCGTTCTTGAGCATGACCATCCAGAACTGCCACGGCGACGGGCTGTCGGGCACCTGGCACCGGTCGCCCAGGTAGAGCTCCTTCGCCGCCGCGTACAGGTCGACGTCCGTGATGTTCGCCGGCGAGCCCGGGAGAGGGTCGCCGGCGCGGAGGTTGTTGTCGGCGTCGGTCACCCGGTGCACCACCTTGTACGTCGGCTGGCCGTTCTCGTCCACGCCATTCTCTGCGAATTTCCCAGCTCTGACTGTCAATTCGACGGACCAATTAACTTGACCAATCTCGCGAGCGCGACATGGATTAGAAGAAAGAAGAGCAATGGATGGAGGAACCAACCGAGGTCGAAGCAGTCGGCGCCGCGGGGGCTGCCCATGCCGGGGGCCTCCTGGCCGACCTCGTTACAGAAGTTCCATGCCTCCCAGGCGACGTGGAGGCCGTCGCGCCGCATGCCGGGGTCCCCGACCGCCGACACGTAGCTGCCGCCGCCGCCGTCGCTGCCATGCGTTGTGATGGACGGCGCCGCCAAGCAGAAAGGGAGAGCGAGGACGAAGCCGAGGAGGGAGGCGACCGCGGCGGCGGCGGCCATCAAGCGCGGAGATATCAACGGAAAGCCGGTAGCTGATCCGATCGAGGACGACAACAGACTACTGTGCGGGTCCAGGTAGAGGCGTACTAGCAGCAAGGGGTGTCGGCGAAGTCAAGATAAGAGAGAGTGGGCGTAGAAATGACAGCGGAAGGTGACATGTGAGCAACCTGCACAGCATTTGTGCTCGTACTCCTATTATTCTTCCTTCCTCTTAAAAATAAGTTGACCTTTATTTTATCTTATTTATTATAAAATATATTTATTTTATATTACATTGGAGTTCATAAAAATAAAAAATAATTGTCTTGAAACAAATCCCCTAAGCTTTTTTTTTCTTTTTTTAAGGGAAACAGCCCTAACCTATTCCAAGAGACGTACATCAAGTAGTTGGTATTGGGTCTTTACATCAAAGGTGACATCCATAAATCCGTGGTAATATGTCTAAGGTCGTTCCAGCATTTGTTTAGTCCGTAGAGAATATATCATCAAGGATGATCATCGAACTTAAGCTGAATACATTGATGAGCATGATATATTCGGTGAAATGCCCTGTGAAATGCCCTGAGCATGACAACAAGGTGTCGATGTCTACAAACCCCTAAATCCCCAGTAAACCAGAGTTGGGCAAATGTGAGTTGCAAGCAACACCCTAGGTGGCATTTGGCTGTTGTTGGCCTAGAGGAGAATGGTTTTTCCGTGCGGTCGAATCTTATTTTCACGTGCGGGTGGGCAGCCCGCACATACCGAAAGGTCTACGAAAATCGTGATTTTTCTTGCGGGTGCTTAAGTCGCCCGCACGGGAAAATAAAAAACCAAAAAAAATAAAATTTCAAAACAAAACAAATCCGACGGTGGCGTCGCCGCTCCCGGCCGCCTCCTCCTCCTCCTTGTCATCGTCATCGTCGTCCTCGTCGGCCAAGGACGCCACTCCCGCCCTCGTCAGAGGCGGCGGCGGCCTCCGTGCCGCTTGCCGCCGGCATCCATGCTCCCCTCCAGCCGCACCACTGCCGACGGGCCCCCCCCCCCACTCCGCCGGATCTGGGGAGGGAAGGAAGGGGAGGGAAGGGGAGGAGAGGGGAGCCGGATCTCGCGGGGGGAGGGCGGCCAGCCGCCGGATCCGCGCACCGGGCCCGCCGGCCTCCGCGCTCCCCTCTGGCCACACCGCCACTGACGCCCCTCCCCTCCACCGGATCTGGTGAGGGAAGGAACGGGGGAGGGGAGCGGGATCCTAAGGGGGAGAGGCTGGCCGGCCGCCGGATCCATGCGGGGACGATCGCCGCCTACGCTGTCGGGACTCGGAGAAAATGAGGACGGGGAAAATGAGATAGAGACGATAGAGGAAAGGAGGGAAGAAAAAGACAGAGAGGAGAGGAGAGAAAGTGGGGAAAATTAAATTGTAATTTGGAACCATGCCATTGTAATTTTGCAAAGTTTGAGATATGCCATCGGTATCTCAATGACACGTAAGACCCACATGAGTCAATGACATGTGGGTTAGGATGGCATATCTCAAATTTTGCAAAATTATAATGGCATGGTTCCAATTTTCCCAAAATTATTTAAAGTGGGTAGGAGGAAAAGAGAGGGTGTGTATTTTTGCGTGCGGCTCTCTTAATAGGTCCGTACGCGAAAATATGCTCATTTTCGCGTGCGGACCATTTAAGTGAAAAGGGAGAGGACCAACTCAGAAGCACTACAAATCTGAAAAGGGGGTATAATAGCAGGGCTGAGTATAACCACCGTACACAGCAAGCCACACCAATGATGCAGGCGTGCAATGGGTAACAAATAGAGGTCTGTGGCTATTTGCATAAAGGCGGTGGTAAATTATTTTATTGTTGAAAGGCAGGATTAAATCTCCACTGAACAACGCTACACTATGTTGAACAGGCCCAACCAAACCACCTTAACTACACCAGTTCATTATGTCAGGTTATTAATAAAGTGGGACTAATCACGGTGAAACTGGTCGATCGCCCATAACTGCGGGCACGGCTATTCGAATAGTTTTACTCTGGCCAGAGGTGCACAACAGTACCCATAAGACACAAGCCACCGGCATGTTACAGTACCCGGCCGGACACGTCACCATGTTGAGTGATTGTGACAAGACCCTTCGTATAACTCCCCCTAACCAAAGCACTACACCTCGGGTTTCGCCCCCACCCCTAAACCGATAGTAGGGAGCCTCCCCTCGTGCCTAGGTAAATCCGATAGCCTAATAGACCGTCGTAGGGCTCCTCCGAACTCCATCACGCTCACCCTTGCCTGGGAACATCAGAAAGGGGAAAGCTATATTACAAGTCCAGCAATTGCCCATACTTGCTTGTGGTAAGCACATTAAGTCTTCCAGGGATTTCCCGCAAACCGGTCCTTGGGTGTGACTAGCAAAACCATGCACCCATAGCCCACCATTAAGCCATATTTTAGTTGGATAATTATGACCAAATAACCATGGCCAGATATCTCGAGCTTGCAGCTCATCAAGATGCTAATGTTAATGTAATTATCCCATTATGTGAGATATTGGTAATTAACCATGGCGAAGCATATCATGATTATAGCAAGATCAACATAAGTGACACGAACTAGTCAAATTATCACCCAAAATTGACAAAGGGCGGATATCAAGTAAATATGGTACAAGCGAGCAGATAGGTAAACCCTATTCCCATGTAATTAGCAAAACATGCAATTTTATTTGCGAACGGTAAAGCATTTGTAAATTAGGTTCAACATGCTCAAGGAGAATGTTTGACTTGTCTTGCTTCTTCAAACAATCTTCTGAACTGTTTTCCTCGCGGAGGCGATCTTCCGAAACGCAGAATCTACGCGCCGGCACGCAAAATGAGGAAAAACTCTAATAAAACCAAATAAACAGTACATGAAAAGTAAACAAACATGTAGAGCTCAATTTTAGATAAATTCTGCAAGTTGAATGGCCCAATTTAGAGTTCGTATGAATTAGTTATGAATTTTAGAAGTTTTGAGCCATTTAAATGAATTTCTAGAATTAAATTCGATTTATTGCGTAATTATTAATTATTTTTATTAAAGGAATTCAGAGGTTATTGCATCAGCAGTGGGGCGGGTGTGGACCGAGTCCATCAAAGGTGGGCCCCACGCGGCAGTGGCACAAGGGGCAACGGTCCACTGTGGACAGAGTCCACGTGTGGCCCACGGCTTTGCCACGCGGGCTCGCCACGTGGACGGCCCAGATCGGCCAGGGCGACCGATCGGGCAGCAACGGGCAGGTGCGGCGCAGCGAGAGGACCGTGTGGCCAATGCCGACCAACCGATGGTAGCGGCGCGCGCGCGGCCTGGAATACTCCGGCAGCGAGCGGCGGCGGTGCGAGAAGGCGCGTTGAGGGCGACGGGCAAGAGGAGAGGGGGAGATGGCTCTGACCGTGCCATTGCGACGGCGAGAAGGTGGCAGGAAGAACGGTAGCGGCAGCGAAGAACGGCAGCGGCGGTTCACGAGGACGAAGGGTGGACGAGGTCGCCCTCGACCTGCGGAAGGAGTAGGAGGGATTAGGGAGAGGAGAAACAGCGTGGCGCGGCTAGAAACGACAGCTGGTGGTGACGGTACTGGGTAGAGCTCACCTTTAGTGATAAGGGCAGGGTTTCAGCTGCTCCCGATGGCGGGGAAGTGGTGGCCTAGGTGCGGCTTAAAGCTGCAGAGCCAGTGGAGGAAACGGCATGGCTTGGGGTGGCACCGGTCGACGGCTATCGCCGGCCAGAAGTGGCGAATGCGGCGGCGGCCTCGGTAGCATGGGGAAGAGGATGACCCAGTTGCGATTTGCGGAATTGGAGTGGCAGCCGTGGTTCTACTCGGGATGGCGGAGCTAGCGGTGACGCATAGCCAGAGAGCTCCGGTGAGTGGCGGAGGCGGCGAGCAGCGTGGGGAGCACGAGAGAGAGAGCGCGAGGAGCTTAGGCAAGTGGGGAAAAAGGAGGAGGGAGGTCTGGGGAGGGTTTTTATAGGGCTCAGGGGTGCGATACGAGGCTGGAAGAGGCGGAAGTCACCGGTAAAGTGGGGGCGGCGACGTGAGGCGTGTCGAGGCAAACCGGCGCCTATCTCCGCGGCGAGAGTGGGGAAAATGGCAAAGTACGTGGAGGGGACCCGGTTCCACACGCTTGGACGTGCGGGCGCGCGTGGGAGGGTGCGGATTTGGCGGCAACATGGTGTGGTGGACAGCGGTTGCTCTGTCTTGGCAGCTATTAAATGCTAGTTTTATGCCGCCAATACCTGCATAATACTTAGATAATGATACATCCAACATAGTGGTAGGGCTTAATTCTGACATATTCCACGAGTGTTGGTGCATATTTGGATGCAGGTACTAAACCACTAAAGTTGGGAGGAAATTTAGACTAAAGTGAATAAGAATTCTATCCATACAAGAGTTGGGCTCTTAAACTCCATCAAAACATCAGAAAATGGGCCCAACTACAGGAGAAATGGATAAGGCAGAGTGAGAAAGAGGCCCAGACCAAATCTAGGAGCCATCTGGCCCAATCCAGGTTCAGCCCTGGTGATCACCATTGGATCCAGGTTTTGGTATGGACGCTCCAGATGCTCTCTTGATGGCGGTTGCCGGGCAATTCCGACAATTCACATAGTTATAACCGCCATTACCTGACTATAAATAGAGCTCCCATTCTCACTTCACTCACACACACTCCAAGCTTGAGCTGAAATATAAGAGGCTCATTGTACTATATTGTATACTAAATTAGGGAGATAGTAAAATAGAAGAAGTCAGAGGAATTTCGGAGTTTTCGGTAATCCTCTTCTATTTCTTGTACTTTGTTAATTATTCTGCTTTAATAGAAATATCATTCTGAGTAATTAAGATTTACTTCGTGAGAATTATTCTTGGTTAGTTCCTAATTAGCATGCGGGGTTATTGTTCACTACAGTCCATTAATTTATAGTGATTGTTTGAGTGTTTAGTTAGCGCTAAAATAGTTAATAATTGCGTAGACACGGTATCTGGTAATTAATTTTCGGTGATTGCTTCATATCGCACAATAGGTTTGAGGTGGGTGTAGTAGTGGTGACAGCCCTCAATTACACTAAAGTCCTCCCTGTCCGGATACGCAAGAGAGCAGCATCTGGGAGCAGTGGGCTGGCCAGTGCCTGAAGTATCACGTTAGGATTAAACTGAGCTTTCTATA